TAGTATGCCGCTTATATAAAAATATTATGCGACATATTAGAAGTTTATCTTTTCCATTTGTGATGTCTAATGTTATCTTTTACAAAAGACATTCTTAAAAAGAAAATTAAGGAAAATTAAGGACATATATACCTACATACATTATTAACAAAATTCCTTTTTATTCTAAATCCTTTCATACCTTATATTTTTTAATACAACCTTCATATGACATGCTTATATTGTGATGTTGATCTATTGTTAAATCAATCATAGTTATTCAATTGTAATTTATAAGCATTTTCAAGAAACACTTACATTAGTACAAATTAACATAAAGTTAACTATTTCCTCTATTTAGATGTTTAAGTCCACAATATCAGTTTAATACAAAAAGGTTATTACACAATTTATTGTAAACATTTTGAACTTTTGACAAGTTCGATAGCGTAATTAATTACCCAAAACATTGTATTAGTTAATACGCTGCAGTATAATAATTACAGTGACTAGTAAACATGAATTACCTTAATAATTTCATTACCTGTTATATTATTACGACAGGTAATAATCCTTGTCACGTAGTAAGGTAATAACGGGAATGTTTTCATTACGACCAGCGTGACAGCCTTTCAAATAATGTATACGCCGACTGTGGTTGTTACTTTTTAATATGAAAAAGGTTCTCGTCATTTAAATCATATATAGTTTTATTAAAATTTTGTATAAAGGTTTTCGTTTACTTTTATTTATTATATAGGATATTTAAATGTAAATGTTTTTGATTTTAGTAGATAGTTATATTACGTAGAAGATATATTACGATACTAGTTTCCATCCATAACTATGCTTGAATCGGCGCAGTAAAGTCAGAGAAAAGGTTTGAGTGTCGTTCCAATAACCTTTCAATGCAAAAATAATGTTATTCTCCAATTTGGCTCGCTTCTTCCGAAGTGATCATGTAACAAATATATAGGAGATGAGAACTGTATATATATAGTATCATAAAAATCTCTAGTGCGAATAATTTGTAGATAATAAAATATAATTGAAAAAGTGATTTAATAAATAATAATAAATTTTAAACATATTGAGGTCATTTGTTTGAGACGTTTCAAAAAATTACCAAATGAAAAGTCTGTAATATTCTAAGTCATTAGAAAAAAACATTACATATATACATGTGTGTTTGTTTAGGTGATATCGTGATACATATATCACGGATGTTTTAAAGTAAATTAAGGCTCTAAAGTCAGCAATAAAAATCACCTAATGGCTTCTTAAGTTTGCTTAATACGCGAATAGCGTGGCAGTTTTTATTGGTTTTACTGTCCGTCGTTAGTGAACCACGCCCAGATATATTGCCATGAAACAGCTCATCAGTATTGATAATAATGTGCCAAACGTTTGTACAAATATTGGTGAACGGAAATTTTGTTACAAAATTGTTCTATGAGTCAAAAACTACATACTCTCGAGTCTCGACGTTTCGGTTACTATGCAGCAACGACGAGATGTGATTAAAAAAAACACGAGTATTAATCCGAAAAATATTAGTTTTAAAACTGTTTTATTTATCATTATTTTCTATTGTAAGTAGTGACTTAATTAACTTAATTATAATATTAAGAAATTCCATTTTATTCTGAACCAATCGTTGGGCCAACATTTGGTTAGGTTTTTGCAAACCAGTAACCAAATCAAGGAAGTGCGTATCGGTCGTTTTTATCATATTGACCGGTGTAACATAAATTGCTTCCACTAACATGTTATGTTTTGTCATTATGACCACTAAAAGCCTGAGATAATGCCATTATTACATGTTCTGAGGTACTATTTGAGTATATTATGTATAATTTTGTTGGAATTGTAAAATACTTTTGGAATAACTGAATTTAATCTTGTTTATCTTTTAAAGAACAATGCTCTAACAAAGTTACGAACAATTTTAAAGAACACCTATTACGAAACATAAAGCCAAAATTGACACTTTGACTTGTTTAAAATTATACATAGGTATGTATATCTATTACAAACATATCATTTCCTGACAATTAAATGTATATATTTATATAATATGTATGGTAATAGATTAATTAAACTTTTTTAATAATTATTATTTTAAAATTTATTTTGTTTTTCTTTTTTCTTAGTTTAAGAATAAACAAAAAACCAAATTAAGATTAAATATAATTATAAGTAAATTTTATTGGCAATTAGAACTATTACGATACTTCCATAAAATAAATTGATAAAAACCAGTAGATGCTTTTCCACTCTTCATTGTTGAAGCAGTTTTATTGTGAAGAATTAACAATTAGATAAAAGAAATCCTACTTTAAAATATTTGTTATTATATGATAACAATTTACTTTAAACATCACGGAATTATTAATAGTAACTGAAAAGTTAACATGCAAGAATAATTATTACTATAATATTTTTTGAAGATTCAAAATCTCAATATTTTTATTTTAAGATAACTTGCTAACAATTTATTCTTTAGGAATCTAAACACTCTAAATGCTGTTTGAGATAACTGAATTTTACTCTAAATTAGAATTTATATAAAGTATATTTATAAGAAATAACTATGCCAAACAATATAAGACAATTAATTATAAAGAAAAAGTAATTATTTTGATTACAACACTATGACTAACAAATAAATTATAAAGAAATGTTTAATCCAAGCGATAAACTTTATAAAATTCCTTTTATATTGTAAATTAGGGTTAGTAGGATTAACAATCACATAGATTGTAACATGAAAGCTAGCATTCTGAAGTCTAGTAAATAATATAAAATTTATAAACTATGTTTCATAGTGAGTCATGTATGAGTCAGTCTACTGATGACGATGACCGGGACTCGATTCACGGCTGATGAAATATTTCTACATATTAAGTTACCTGTACAGTTTTGATGTGTACATACAAATTACTTTCTATTTTGGACGCGTTTTCTAACTAAAAATTATTTATGTTTGATGTAATACAATATATATTATTTATGTATTTTGTGTCAGGAGTTTTGGAATATAAAGACGACTATTAAATTATAACTTTATTTATGTAATAAAAGAAATTAAACAATGATGCTAACCATTGAAGGTATGGACGATATTCTGCCAGGCGTGAATGTACACATCATGGTGTTTTTCTGAAATAAAGATATTTTTTTAATAATAATATAAATATTTTATGTTTGTACTAAATAAAAATTATGTACATTGTAATTACTACAATTCCCTTAAGTTATTGAAGCATTTTCCCTTTAATAATTATTTTTCTTTGGTATTATAATAAATGGAAATGATTTTACATATTTTGCGTGAAATTATTTCTATATTAAGTATAGCTGTTTAAGGATCTAAGCTTTTATATACTTCTTAACTCAGGCTATCAGAAATAAAGAAACACTTATTAAACATATTCTATAATAATAATTAAAATACATGTACAATATAAATATATGTAAATTGTATTTTTTTTAAATTCATTCTTCCAAATGAAAGAATATGTTTCTTGTTGTATCTATATAGCTATCCAAGTCTAAAGTATATATATACTAGGCGTTATTGTACATAAATGAAAATTATAAACTGCACCTTTTAAAAAAATATTTCAATTAAAACCATAAATGCTATAAAGCCTGTAATTAAAACAATATCGTTTGCCGGACACACTTCAAACGAAACCAGATACACAAATAAAGCCCATCCGAATATGTAATTAACATTTTCAACTTGTAAAAGAAGCCGTACGTCGGATCATTACAGAGTTCCGGCTGTATGAGTCACTTACAAAAGCAAACCTAAATAAAACGTTGGAAATGGAATAAGTGACGATTTACCGAATGACCATTATAAAATTACAGCTACTCAATTATAAATACAACCTTATTACAACCAATTAAGGTTGCTGTTGAATAAAATGCTTCTAAAACTAAACGACACTCTGGGTGGCGATGCCGATAAAGGCGGTACGTTTGCAAACACCCAAGCGTTTTCGTACAATAAAAGAAAGAAGGCGGTACCACAAACAAAGAATTTTAAACTAAACTTTGAATAGCCGATGCAAGTGACCTTTATATTATACAAAGCTTTAAAACGGGGAAATATCCCGCAGAGAGTTAGAAAGGGCGAGTAACGTCTTCAACGCTGACCAAGAAGGTACAATATTGTTAGGGCTGTCTGAATGTTACAAATCCTTTGTCGATGCGACGATTTATAATTGTAGCAAGTTTCGTAATGGCTATTATGTTTAATGAATTATACAGGATGGTGTGATAATTAGCCATGAGTATTGTTAGCTACATTTCTTTTAAACAGGAGTGTCGGACAGATGGCTATTATCAACAAATAGAAATTACACTGATATGTATACTAGAATATTTATTATAATGTTTTTCCTTCCTCAACAATACACATATTTTTTAGGTACATTTTGTTACTTATTTAATTAAATACTTATCATTCAAATACTAATTTTCGTTTGAAGTAAAAGTTCGTTGGTATCTCTCGATGTACCATCATATATATACATATATAATATACATCAGATTATACATATATATATGTATTACGCAACAACACTATGTGCCACCCCTGTTTACTAAATACAAAACTGTATAGTTATTCCATCTCATTTGTAAAACACAATAGACCTTTCAATTCCACCGAACGTCGTATAATTTACAGCTCTTACAATGTGGGCTACCATTTTGAGTTCAAAACAACCTTTTTAGTAGCGACTTATCTATTTTTACGATTGTAATTAGTTGTTACTCTTTTGTCTGTCTGAATTGTCGCCGCGTTGTCGCTTACATGTCGTCGAAGTGTGTACAGTAAATAAGTAATGAGCGTTGAGGAAACTATTATTTCCTTGGTAGGGAGGCAGTAAGGTGCTGTTTGCAAAATATTCAATACAAAACGATGTTACAAAAGATTTGTCGCGGTGCATAGAATTGATTTAACCAGCTGAAAAAAACTGTTAATGTGTATTACCTGTAGGTTATACTTACTTTAAAACACAGATTTTCGGATCCGTAGCTAGTAGGTAGTTGTTCAAGCTATTTTCACAGTTACTGTAAGCCATACCGAAGCCCAATCCCCCACCGATGTACATTGGCCACTTCTTGTAGCCGCGAAGAAAGAATCCACCCAATAAACTGCCAATCAGGAGACCGGTGCCTGACATAAAATATCATTTATCTGTACGTTCCATAAAATGCATAAAAATATATTATTTGTATTTCTATTCTTATGAGGTAAATTATTTGCTTTGAAGAATCTATCTATAAAAATATGATACACACAAGAGCCTAAGTCTTATATAAAAATTATAAATTCGACTTGTACTCAGAAATACACATTCATAATATTTGATTATTTGTCATACGTGAGGATAAGGTATATTTGTTGTTATTTTCTTATTTATAAAAATAACATACTCCCGAAGTTTCGGTTACTTTGCAGCAACCGTCATCACGTTCAGACGAGATGTGATCTCACGTGATGTGATGTTTTTTAAAAGTAATACGCGTAGTAATCCGAAAACATTAGTTTCATTTAAATGAATACTTGTGAAAATCTCAGAACTTATTATATGTATCGTATTAGACAGTTATAATATCTAGAATTATCGGATTTAGACAGCGCTTGGTTAGATCTCTAAATTCATCTCTTCAGACACGGTGAAACAATCTGTCATAAATGACTTACATATTTTCATTCCAAAATCAACGAAGCATGCTGTGTATCTGTCTTCGAAGTCTCTACTATCCTCATGTTTACTCATTTCTCTTGGATGTCACAAAGACAGACAGAAACAAACATGATCTATCAAGAATTAATAAAAATATTAATACATTTTACATTACATGGAAATAGATTTATCAGTAGAAAATATGACACATGACATTTTGTTTTGAAAAATAAATCACTATCGGTCGAAAAAGTTTTTATATTTCCAACAAAAAAAAAACATTTTAAATATGAACACATGAATAATGTGTCAAAATCTGAGAATTTCGTATCATAATAATTAAAGCATTTTCATTGAATATTCTTTTAATATATGTTTATATGTAGGTACATGTGATATAATATTCCAAACACGATATGTCCATTCCAATTACAATTAGCTAACTGGCTACACGGGAGTTAACAATAAAAGCAGTCAATTGAATTTAGACACTGTTTAGTGTATCTCGTATGTAAGAGGCTTATCTGTCCTTGACATTAATTAATAACATAATTAATACAGATAATTAATAATTCTAATCAATCGGTAAGCTGAATCTCATTATCTCAGAATTGATTGGATAATCTATGCAATTATGATGTACTAATAATTAAAATATATACAAATTATTTTTTATTGAAACCTTATTTATAATATAAAGTTATTGAAAGATTCTGTATAATGATTAATTTCCTATTGTATGGAATTCTCTATTATTTTTATTTTATTTTTATTGATATTTATGTGTTTAAAATTACTAAATATTTATTTGAATATGATTAACGCCTTTATCATAACTTTGAGTGCACTTTCTGCATTTAATCTTGCTGCAAGTATATCGTAAGGCGTCATTTGAAAACTTTACTACTAATCTTATTTCTAACTTTATATGAGGTATAAAAGATTAAATATAAAAACTTTTCGTAGTTTTCTTTAATTATATACTTAATGAAAAAAATTAGGATGTTTTTGTCATTAATTTTATACAAGTTGCGTTCTCCATCTTCGTCCTCTATCTTTTTAATAATTATTAAATTAGTAAGTTTACCTTATTTTTCAGTACTAATGAAATTTTAATATATAAAAAATATGCAGTTTGAAGTTCATAAACAATTCCATAAGTATTTCGGCGTAAGAAACTAACTGTTCCATTTCAAGTAAGAGGAGTAATTATTGAAAGAAACTAGGTTTAAAATAAATTCAAAATAATTTTCATACAAATAACGATCCTAAGACAACATCTTAATATTAACATTTACAGACGCACACACAGTTATAATAATAACCCTAACTGAAACTGAAATCTAATTTCCACAACTAAATTCAAACAGACGTACCAATTTCTGAAACAACCAATCATTAATGACTAATTTGCTACTAACAAGGTTAATGCTACTAAGCAGAGCAATTCCAGGCAAATCGATCTAGACTAAGCTAGTAATGGACAAAGGATTACAAACTGTGGGCCTAGCCTGCCATCATAATTCCATCTGCATGTCTTATCAAAGCGGCTTGTAGACTGATTTGAATCTGTTCTATGCATTAATTGGGCCCGTCATAGTTATCTTAATATTATTGTATTATAAAGGATTCGCTACAGGCTGGTATGCTTTGAGAAACGGTAGTAAGTATCATTTTATATTGTAGTCAGTGATTATACCGACTTTATAATTTATGACTGTATTTTTGCCTGGAAAAAAACATTGATATAATATCTGATTTGATATAAAGTATAGTGCTTTATTTAATTCGACAGGGTATTTTAAATTTGAATAAATATGTATGATCAAAAATTAAAAATAAGTACTTCAAATCTTCTAGTTTAAGTTGAAGTAAAATGATTAAACTTATATTCTATTCATATTCTACTGTCTTCAGATTTGACTCTATAAAAAAGTAATTTCTAGAAATGTTAGGCTGCTGAGGTCATTTATGAAGAAATTATATAAACATTTTCATGTTTTAAAATTTAAATTGGAGCGACTGAGATTGAAAAATACAAAAATAAACTACTCAAATTTCATAATTTAAGTACTTAGACGAAATATTATATATATATATACATACCACATAACCTGCGAAACTGGTAGTTTTCATCTTTAAAACTCGCCCCAGAGCCTCTTGATTAAATAGTCACTACACGTGTGGTTTTACCCTTTTCGAAGAAGGAATTTTTCATTTAAACTCCATATAAAAGGGATAAACAACGCCACATTTTAATTATATGCGTGCTTCCAATACGATTTTATAATTGAATTTATTTTCACAAAGGACAAATTAAATATTCACATGGAAAGGTCACTTTTAATTAGGAGAGTATAAACTCAAATATTTCAGATATTAGAAAATTAAACTAGTAACATATTATTAAAATTACAATTTTTACTAATTACTATTTTTTTTGTTTATTAAAATATTGTTTTTTTGTTTTGTTTTCATTACCAATATTTGTAAATATTTTATTTATTTTCTAGTTTACTAATTTTCATAAAGCTAGTAGACTTAAAGAGCCCCTTAATCATATTTAATTGTACTCAAATAACGACTAAACTCTCAAAATATTGTCGTTAAGTATTATGCAAATTAATTTCTTTCAAGTACTCCACTAATTGCATATATAGCTGACAGCTGTTTGGGTCTTAAATCATAACAAATATTTCGCATTCATTTTAATCGGTAAATGCCGCTGGCTAAATCATCAAAGGCACTTAAAGAAAATTAATTCAGTCTAATTTAACATAATCCGATGAACACTCAGAACATTTAATTATATCTATATAGTAATAAGATATATTATAATTTTATTGCAGTTTTGATAAAAAAACAATAATAAATAAGTGTATAGATCAAGAAGTTTTGTTATTTCATTAACTCGAGTGTTTCCTTGAATTTAATTTAAAACAACTTCCTAATTATTATTTTTAAAAGTTTATCTGAAAATTTTAAATATACATAAATTTCCAATATATTTTTAAGTGTTATACTTTGCTGTAATAAGATTTTCTTTTTATTTAAATACATTTTTATTGTCCAATTTATAATTAGTTGAACTCTAATATTTACAACTATTGTGATGACTTAGGGAAGTCATTTATTTCATACCAATAATTAGTCTTGTCACCACACCTAACTCATTCAACATAGAATAATACTTCCACAGATCCTTTACCTATATTTTTAAGATATCAAGTTAAAGTCTTTGTCACAAAATTATATCTATCATTTATGTAATATGGACGTTAAAAAAATTATTGATGTAGAATATTGTAATCTAAATTATATTAATCTCTAAATCACAGAAGAGTTCTGTTAAAAGTGTTTTTTTTAATATAAAATAGATAACTTTCGAAGATCCTGTTTAATCTTCTTTACTCCTCTAGAGCACATTAGTCTATGTAAATATTCCTAAAATTAACTTATATTGTCACGTGTTTACAATCATATGCCACATTTAATATTACGGTTTTGGAAAGGAAATTTTAACAAAGACTTCTAAAATACTTTAAATTATTGTTACAATTCTCATAACCCCAAGAAGAATATAATTATTTTAAATTAGTATTTATTAGTATTTATTATTCAAACGATTACTAATTAAAAAGATGTTTTTAATTTTTTACTGTAATAAAAAAGATTTTTCATACTCGTCTTAGTAAAAAACATTTAATATAAATATATTTTTGATTTACATAACTTGCAACTTCAACCCAAGCTCAAAAATTGTTTTAAAAATGTCATCTCTTGCAATTACTAAGGGTCCTTTAGGTTTATTTCCGCGCTAGTAAATAAATAGGTCACATCACAAAGTATAGAATATACTTAAGATTCTTGACCCTAATTAATGAAATATAAAAGTATGTCAAGCTATACGAATATGAAAAAATATGAAAATAAAATGAGAATTACTAACAATGGAATAGAAACTCGAAATGATACTGGAATTCAACGTAAAACGTCGAACACCGATCACGATTCCATCAGCTTTTAAACCCTGTAAATAGGCTGCAAATTTTTGGATTACCAGATTTTATGGTCGTAATGTTAACAAAGTTACAAATCGCAAGATTTATCGGATTGTCTCATCCCGTAGGATTACAAATGCCCTCATCAGTTTTACGACAGGATTTGGGCACGTTTTATAGTTGCCTTAATTTTATGACGACTGATTAGTTCGTGTATTGTCTTTGTTACTAACTGCTTTACCGTTTGAATCTGGCTTTATATATAAACAAAACTAAATTTACAACTTAATATATGTTCTTGTAACCATCATAATTAACAAAAATATTGATAATTATAAAAACTTTTGAGATTCAACAAGTTTTTTCCGAGCTCCTAGACAATAGTACAGGTAATTCTGACTTTTTCACATAGATTAATTGCGACTGAAGTAATGAGTCATCCTTGAAAATAATGTCCTATCTGTACAAAAAGTATTTCAAAAATATCCCCCATTGTGAGCGAGAACAGTAAAATTAAACCCTCTCCAGATCTGACGATTCATCAGGGAGACAATAACGCGTTTCAGATTTTACAGCGGAAATTTGCATGAAATTCATCTAGGGTTTTACGAGTGGTGTAATTTGAAGTCTGCATATGCAAATTCTAAGTGAGCTAAAATATAATGCATATAGAAAAAGTGCTCGGCATGACGCATTTCATTTAAGGCTAGTTTTTTGTTCTTGTTTAGATTTGAAAAAAGTTATCAACCTTTAATTTTAAATAAATAACTTGTGTATACATATTTTTTAAGTCAATTATTCTGACTAATCCATTTTTTTATTAAGAAAAATTCATTATATATTAAGGGTTTGTAAGAATAATAAGTTTAGATCAGATAATATTAATAGAACGAATGTGTAATAACAATTTAAGGTAATGTAAGCAATATTCTTTAACAAAAACAAGTAAACAATTCATAAAACTAATTCTCTTAGATTTACTGTTAATTGTGAACTTCTATTAAAGTCTTTAGTTAATTTAGACCTTATTATTTAAATGTCATAGTTTATTTTCGTTTGATTATTTTATAAGGAGGGTGCACACTGTGTCAA